TATACGGGGTGGACCGTTTCTTTCCTACTCGTGTACTTCTCGGGAAGATGAATATCTTGCCGCGAATCGTGAAATGAAAGTGTCATAGGAGTCAATAGGATTATTTAAAGGTAATTCTATTTTATTGTTGATTTCAAATAAATTCCGTTCCAACGAAGGATTATTAACTTAGGAAACAATTATTAATTACATTAATAATTTAATATATTATTATATTATAAACGTCGGTTAGAAAAGTTATAATTCAAATTCTAGAGAATGCATCAAATAATATATATATACTATCAAAAATATACAAAAATTGAAAATTTTTGATCAATTTCTTTAAAAGAATATAGATATATAACCACGTGATTATCAATTAATTAAGTGAAGTATAAAAATATTTATTATAGCTTAAATGATCATTTTTTTTTTCTTTAATACAATTGCATCTTAATTATTGAACTATAATTTATTTATATTAATATATTCAAGAATAATTTCAAGGATTAATATTAAATATATCTACGTGTATAAACAATAAATATTTAGTACATCGATTATCTTTTTCGTTAAAATCAACCTAAAATAATCTATCAATTTATCCCACAAATTCAATACATTATTTAATAACTCATTCAATATTTTAAATAAAAAAAAATAATCTTAAATAAATCCTTTTAATACCCGAAAAAATAGTCGAAGAGGAAGAACAATTTATTTCACGATAATATAACTCCATACGTTAAATACATATTAAAACCTGTTTATCAACGAATTATCCCATTCGATTAAATTATTCATACGTTCGATGATAATTTTTAAAAAAAAAAAAAAAGAAAGAATCTCGAAAAGAATCCCATGATAAAACCGAAGTATAAGGGAGCACCCTGTATAGCGTTCGCTGGACCCACGGAGCGAGCGGGCAACTTCGGAACGTCTGACCCTTGACCCAGGAGGTTCTCTCCGTCCTGCTCTCGTTGGATCGCGTTCCTCTTCCGCCCCCCTTTCCCCTCCCCGCGACTCCTCTACCGCGGTACATACCCCGCTTTATACTTGCGCTTTAAGGCGCCCTGGCCTCTTTTAAATAGTCGACCACGTCGGGGCCCCGCGTCGCCGATTTC